CTGTTCAGGTCTGAAAACCACACAGAAGATAAATAACCAGGTGTGTCCCAGTACCATCTTTTCAAACTGAGTATGAGTACTTCAGTTTGAGTACTCGCCTATACTGAGTTAATGTATACAATGACTTTAAAAACATTTTTTTAATATTGAACAAGATTTTTCTCCTTCCTTTTAGACTTCTGATTGGATCAAATCAAACATATGCCATGATATATACTGCTAAAACCTTTTAAAAGAAACCAAAATAACGACCTTTTTTTGTTAAAAATTCATAAACACAGAACTGACAAACTTTGGACTTGAAATGTAAACTGTGACACATTCAGAGGAGTGTCCATACTGCACATACTTGGRAAAACTCTGGTATATTTTCACTAAACACTATAAATAACAGTTAAAATCTGGTCTAACTCTTGATTCTATATATATCCTCCAGTAGATCAGATCATAAACATTGAGGCATCTGCCCAGGTGGACAAAGACATAATGAAATTATAATGTGCGAAGCCAAGAATACACTCTTTTTATTTTTTATTATTTTTATTATCTTGAGTCCAAGATTGGATTTGAACTTTTCTATAATATTTATATATTTTTAGATCTTCTGAAAACATTTAAATATATTATTTTTAGATGAATTTAGACGTAATGTTGTGACCAAATGGCTTCAATCGTAGATAAATTTCTGGAATATAGAATGGTTTCCTTTTTGGACCCAAACATCCAGAGAGCCCATTCCCAGAAGTCGAGTGTTGTCCCTCCCTTTGAGTATCTGTGGGAGTTTGACTGAGTCATTAAGTAGCCAGGCTACGGCCTTTCACAAGGCCCTCACTGTCCTGGAGGCCACAGACTGGGGATAACTCAATTTGTCTGCTCTGACCAGCTCTCTCTGTCCTTCCAGCTCTTTATTCTGGTCTGTGCCGATGCAGAGCRGCGTTAAAGGATCCATTCTGGTCCGTCTTGGTGGCTGAACTGTTCACACGAGTTTCAGAAGTCAAAAGCATTTTACTTTTATTTTTAGGTGAATCTACGAAAAGAGTTCTGAGTTTCACTGCTCTTCACAAATATGACCTCTGTTACAGCRTGGTATTAGGGCCCAAATTAATAGTGTTGAGCACCCAGCAGGGGCTACGTCTTTGTAGCGAGAGAGTATCTATTTCAAAGCCGAAACTGACCAGATACTTTTAGTGAGGAAAAAAGCTTCAATAGAATTATCAAGATCTGACATGACCAGCTCGGCCAAACAGCAGCCACTGTTTCTTTGTCATATGGCTCGCAGTCAACAGAAACACAAGAGAAGATACTGTATTTCTTCCAAGTCTGTGTGGTTCTTTTTTCAAAATACAGTTGTATGCACAATTTTTTTCAAAGGTATAACTTCACAAGATGCTCAACATTCCTTATTTAAACACAATGGTACGACTAATTTTTCGTGTAGGAGTTCTTATAACTTACAACTTAATTTTGGTAATATTAGGACRTTATTCTCATTATTAAAAAATCTCATTGTTTAGCCTTAATACTCCATAATTTCTTGATAGTTTTATTTTTTTAAAGAATGCATCTAAGAAAGTGGGTGAAGAGCCTAGGCATGCTAAACGTTAGCCTCTCCAATGCTAACGCCAGCCTATCCCATGCTAAAACCAGCCTATCCCATGCTAAAGCCAGCTTATCCCATATTAAAACCAGCTTATCCCATATTAAAACCAGCTTATCCCATATTAAAACCAGCCTTTCCCATATTAAAGCCAGCCTTTCCCATATTAAAGCCAGCCTATCCCATGCTGAAACCAGCCTATCCCATGCAAACGCCAGCCTATCCCATGCAAACGCCAGCCTATCCCATGCTAAAACCAGCAGGGTTGGGCATAATCGTATCTTGTGAAATTAATCGTCAGAAAAACATTAATCGATTACTTTTTGGTACTTGACAATTAATACGATTAATGCCAGCAGGCAGACTGACTGGAGATCACTCCGGTCAGTCCGCTCGGTGCTCTTTTCCACTTGTAAAATGACGAACATTAAAAATAAATTTCTGTAATTTATTTATATATCAACAC